GAATAATGTACAAATTTCTTTGAATGACCAATGTGGATCATCAAGTGGTGACTTGTTTGTCAATATCAATATGATTGAATTTTGTTTGAACTTTCAAAGATGAATAATAAGAAATTAATTCGATACGTATGTATGTCGAGTATACTTTGTAATAGACTAATAAGAATTTAATTTTCTCAACACGACTCCCATTTGGTTTCATATACTAGTTCTTGCAAGTCACACCCCAACTCTCCCATTTGACTCAAATTCTTGAAACAGACAAAAAATTGGAAGGCGCAATGTCGAAGCACATAGCATGAACATCAATGGCAGACTGATTCAATTCTTAACCAAGATATGATATCAGAAATACTCTTGCACTTACTTGTAAAAGCATTGATGAGGATGAAGCGTGTCTCTGAATCTTGGTCTTCCCTCATCTCGAGTCCTCAATTTGTAAGAAGCCATCTCAAACTTTCAACAAGAAACTAGAATCTCCTGATGATAAGCTTCTTTTTAAGAACCATGATAATGAAAAGGGCTGGACTTTCTACAACAGGGAGGCTAGTAGAGAAGTTTTAGGCCCCTAAATTTTGGGGCCCAAAAAATATTTTTAATTATAAATTTTCTTATTTACTTTTTGCTTAGACATTATTGAAACTTATAGAAAAAAGAATAAAAGTACAAAATCCTTATAAAAGTAGAAAGAAAGGCTGCCTATTTAATAATAACTAGTCTTTCGGCACGTACGTTGTACGTGTATGCCGAGTCATGCAATACACAATTTTATAAAATAATATTAATATCATCAAAATATAACATTTACTAAAAAATTATACATAAAAGAATAATGTACAAATTTCTTTGAATGACCAATGTGGATCATCATGTGGTGACTCGTTTGTCGGTATCAATATGATTGGATTTTGTTTGAACTTTCAAAGATGAATAATAAGAAATTAATTCGATACGTATATATGTCGAGTATACTTTATAATAGACTAATAAGAATTTAATTTTCTCAACGCGAATCCCATTTGATTTCATATACTAGTTCTTGCAAATCACACCCCAACTCTCCCATTTGACTCAAATTCTTGAAACAAACAAAAATTTGGAAGGCGCAATGTCGAAGCACAGAGCATGAACATCAATGGCAGCCTGATTCAATTCTTAATCAAGATATGATATCAGAAATACTCTTGCACCTACTTGTAAAAGCGTTGATGAGGATGAAGTGTGTCTCTGAATCTTGGTCTTCCTTCATCTCGAGTCCTCAATTTGTAAGAAGCCATCTCAAACTTTCAACAAAAAACTAGAATCTCCTGATGATAAGCTTCTTTTTAAGAACCATGATAATGAAAAGAGTTGGACTTTCTACAACAGGGAGGCTAGTAGAAAAGCTTTAGGCCCTAAAAATATTTAATTGTAAATTTTCTTTCTTCTTTTTACTTAGACATTATTGAAACTTATAGAAAAAAGAATAGAAGTACAAAATCCTTATAAAAGTAGAAAGAAAGACTGCCTATTTAATAATAACTAGTTTTTTAGCACGTACGTTGCACGTGTATGCCGAGTCATGCAATACACAATTGTATAAAATAATATTAATATTATCAAAATAAAACTTTTACTAAAAAATTATACATAAAAGAATAATGTACAAATTTCTTTGAATGACCCACGCGGATCATCGTGTGGCGACTCATTTGTCGATATCAATATGATTGGGTTTTATTTGAACTAACAAAGATGAATAATAAGAAATTAATTAGATACACATGTATCTCGGGTATACTCTATAACAGACTAATAAGAATTTAATTTTCTCAACGTGGCTCCCCTTTGAGTTCATATACTAGTTCTTGCAAATCACTCATCAACTCTCCCATTTGACTCAAATTCTTGAAACACACCAAAATTTGTAAGGCGCAATGTCGAAGCACAGAGCACGAACATCAATTGCGGGGTGATTCAATTCTTCACAAAGATATGATATTAAAAATACTTTTACGCCTACGTGTAAAAGCACAGCTGGGGATAAAGTGTGTTTCTGAATCTTGGTGTTCCCTCATCTCGAGTCCTCAATTTGTAAAAAGTCATCTCAAATTTTCAATCAAGAAACTAGAATCTCCTAATGATAAGCTTCTTTTCAAGAACCATGATGATGAAAAGGGCCAGACTTTCTACAATAGGGAGGATAGTAGAGCCTTTGCTTTAGGCTCCCTAAATTTTGGGACCCCAAAAATATTTTTAATTGTAAATTTTCTTTCTTATTTTTGCTTAGACAATATTGAAACTTATAGAAAAAAGAATAAAAATATAAAATCCTTATAAATATAGAAAGAAAGACTATTTATTTAATAATAACTAGTCTTTTGGCATGTACGTTACACGTGTATGTCGAGTCATGCAATACATAATTTTATAAAATAATATTAATATTATTAAATAAAACTTTTGCTAAAAAATTATTCATAAAAGAATAATGTACAAAATTTCTTTGAATGACCAATGTGGATCATCGTGTGGTGACTCGTTTGTCGATGTCAATATGATTAGATTTTGTTTGAATTTACAAAGATAAAAAATAAAAAATAAAAAATTAATTAGATACGTATGTATCTTGGGTATAATCTATAACAGACTAATAAGAATTTAATTTTCTCAACGCGGCTCCTGTTTGAATTCATATACTAGTTCTGGCAAATCACACCTCAACTCTCCCATTTGACTCAAATTATTGAAACACGCCAAAATTTGGAAGGCGCAATGTCGAAGCACAGAGCATGAACATCAATGGCAGACTGATTCAATTTTTCACCAAGATATGATATCCGAAATACTCTTGTACCTACTTGTAAAAGCATTGATGAGGATGAAGTGTGTTTCTGAATCTTGGTGTTCCCTCGTCTCGAGTCCTCAATTTGTAGAAATTCATCTCAAATTTTCAACCAAGAAACTAGAATCTCCTGATTATAAGCTTCTTTTCAAGAACCATGATGATAAAAAGGGCTAGACTTTCTACCAGGGGCAGCTCAAGCGGAGGCTAGTAAAGCCTTTGTTTTAGGCCTAAATTTTGGGGGCCCAAAAATATTTATAATTATAAATTTTGTTCCTTATTTTCGCATTGAAACTTATAAAAAAAAAAAATAAAAGTACAAAATCTTTATAAAAATAAAAAGAAAGACTGTCTATTTAATAATAATAAAAATATTTTAGAACTTTGAATTTAGCTACTCAAACTTTCATATTCGTAAATAATATTTTTTGCAATAAGATCCAAGGTAATACATTGTAAATACGTGGCTAATATTTTTTAATATAAATATTAATATTATATTTTATAAGATTACTACACTATAGACAAAAAGAAAGAAAAAAATCAATGTAAATATTTATACGATATTATGTAAGATATCTGCATCATAAGCAAATAAAATAAGGCCCCTTATTAAAATTTGGTTTTAGGACACCGGTTCTATTGAGACATACTGAACTTCATTTTCTCCGTGGAGATCCATTTAAAAGGTATCAAATTTTGGATTCTTGTAATGGATTGTTTTATATCTTTTAACTTCTTGGTGAAGGATTCAAGACTTCTCGAACAATCTGAAATTTTTTTGAATGAAAAGATCCATTGGATTGCTGAGAATTCTATTAGTGATAAGAATTCAATATGAGTTCTTTCTACATTTAACCTTATGGATGAATCATTTGAAGATTTAGTGTTGCCCAACATAGGTAGTGATGTTGATTGCGAAGTAGGTTCTTCGGGAGAATCTATGCCTATTTTGTTACTATGAGAACAAGACTGATTTGTGGCTAATGAAGAATTACGAGATTCTAGAGTCATGGGTGAAGGCGGTAAGAGCATTATCGGAGAGTTTAATGTGGTATAATAATGGCTTCATGCATCCAGATGTTAGGATACATTGTGATCATTGAAAGCTTGGTGTCTCCAACTTACCTACTGAGTATGGAAAGTCCATAACTTTGGCAGAAGCTGATGAGGATGGGAAGTTCCCAAATTTATAGAAGAACCTACTAAGGATGGGAATGATTGAAGAACTAACAAAATATTCTCCGTAAATGATTCTAGAGGTCTTGTGCATAACTAACAAGAAATTCGTTGTGTGATTGATACTTCTCTGTATCTTTATTTTAAAAAAATTTCGTTCTCCATTTTTCATTGTTCAATGCACCCGCTAACAGTAGAATTAGGAGTGAGATCTATCTATCAAAATATATGTACAAAAGCAGTTGTTTGGTGGCCCTAGAGTATAACAGTTTTTGTATTACGATGAGGCGCTAACATCAGTTTCATTACAATGAATTTTCTTAACATTCTAGACTGTGGGGTGTTAATTAGGGGTGAGTGTGGGAGTTACTTGGCAAAAGTCCAACCTTATTAGTGCACTCAGGTTTAGTTTCGTTTAACTAAAGAGTAAAATATTCATCACAGATAGTAAGAAAGTTATCAGCTTAACTTTCAAAATTACTCTAAGAGGTTTTCAAATGCTAGAGTTAAATTCAGCGTGCTGCTTTCTACTTTTGCTAAAGTGTGCAACTGAAAATTATGAGGAGGGATTTATGTATCATCCAAATATTAGATCCTGATTGATACTCAAAAAAGTGGAAATGACACTAGGTAGCCAATTGCTAGAAAAGAAAACTCCTCATTCTCCAGAAGAGCAATCGCTCAAGACGGAAAGGTTTTCTACCCAAAAGAAAGAAAAAAAAAGAGACACTAAAAAGAGATTATGCATGTCACCGCTGTTATAATCATGAGGACAACATGATACGCAAGCATTAGCATAATTGACCAAACTTCATTATAACTGGACAGTTTCTCCCTGTGATATTTGCATCAAGACTTAAGCTGGATAGGAAATGAATCTCAGAAAACCGAAGAGAACTTTACAGATCGACAATTTTGGGAGCTGTTCACAGGGGTTTCGATCGCCCGGTCCATTGGCATCATATTACCAATTATTTTTAGGACTGTAAACGACATATAAAAGAGACAAAGAGCCTTTGGATTCATGATCAAATAATAAAATCAGCATATACAAATTCCAAATGCTTGCCTGATGAACACTACAAAGAATTTCCTAAACTCACTACCATCCAGCACAATCTACAAATTTGCCAAGGAAAAAATAAAAAGGAACCTTAAAAAGATAAAAAGGAAGACAAGAGAAGCTTTCTATCAATACACTTGCTAACCAAACCAAGATCAATCATTCATCACATATTTTACAGCAGTAGAATTAATTATACATCAATAACTCCCGTGAGATCTGACAGAAGACATAGATTGAGCTGAGACAGAGGCAGTTGGACTGTTCAGATCCCTTTCCCCATTAGCAACTTTGGGCTTTCCACTCAGCCTCTCCATCGCATCTTGAGCAATTTCAGTGAACCAATCATCGTCAGGGAGAACACTGCCAGCAATATCCACGGTTAAGTTAAAGCATAAATATATAATTTTGATATACAAACTATATAGGATTTTGCCCTGTAAGTCATGACATAAGTTGAAGCGGCTGCCCAAAAAATGCAGAGTTTTACACCGTAAATTAAGCATAGTATTAATCTACAGAGCATAGGGATTATTTCTTCTTATGTACCAAATGAAGTGATCCTTAATGCATCCCAAAATATACTCAGAATCAGATAAATGGCAAAAGGATGAAATTCCGTAAAGTGAGGGGAATTTATACCTATATGGATCCATCCCAGTTGAAGCAAAAGCTGACATTGCTTTAGAGATTATGTCATTGACAACCCGAAGCAAATTTCTAGATAAGTAGCGTCCTTGCGAAGCAAAGCATGTGACAAATTTCATATCCAAATAGAACTACAAAAAGTTCAATGGTAAACATGAAGTGTTACAAAACATATTGGCAGTGGGGAGCAAAACAAGATAAGTGGATACCAGTAATTACAAACCTGCTGAAGACCAAGATGACCCAATGGCCTTGGTCCTTCCTCTATATCATCCCAAAAGCTCTGATCTTGTGAAAGCCACAAGATGACAGTTTCTGTAAGCCTCATCAACAACAATATTGCAAATCTTTCCCTTCCTACAAACATATCAGCAGCTATGGCAGCCATTCTGTTTAGTTTGACATAAAGTTCCTGGCAGAATCACAAATAACCACAGATTATCAACCATAAACAGTTGCTCATGTATAGACAGGAACTCCCACTAAAACCTCGAGATGTGGATATTTAAGTTGGAATCTAATAGACAAAAAGACGAATAGGCACTAGGAAAAGGGAGTGCTCTTATCACGATTAGTCGATTACAACTTAGATTACTATATTGTTAACGATAAGTAACCAGAAAAAGAGATCTCAGTTGTTACACTGTTTGCTTAGTGTTTTTTCCTTTTAAATTAAAAAAAAAAAACTAAGCAAAGAGTGTAAGAGCTGAGATCTCATTTTCTGGTTGCTTAGTGTTGATAATGAAGTATCCAAAAAATTGAAGATCAAAGCTCTTAAAATTGTTTTCTTAGTGTTAATGATTAATAAATGCTCATGTTTGGTAAGAAGCAGGTGCAAACTCCAAGCTGCAGTAACTAACACACAATAAAGACATCAGTTTTTCAGCAGCTCTTGTAGTTGAACAACCCTAATTATTCAAAGTGGCATGTAATTACATAAGAAAACTCCGGAAGAGGAAACTGCACCTGGAATATTAGAGAAGGGAACCATTCTATCTCGTCAGCGTTCCCCTCCATGTTTATATACATTTCGGCAGAGAGATGGCTGTCCCCTTCCTCTGTGAAAATAAGATCCAGAGCATGCTGCTGACAAAAGCTATCCTTTAACCGGTCAACTGAATTCACAAGACGCTTCTTCCATTCCCTTTGCTCCGGGTGACGGCTTTGCCTATCTGAAGCTCTTCTTTGAAGATCATCCTTGTAATTAGCCTGATTCAAGGGAGCAAGCTTCATAGCTGCACGTGGCAATAGTTCGTCTGCCAATAAAGATGCGTTTGCAAGCAAAGCAATTTGCTGAGCTTCAGTCTCGGCCATGCGAACAATTTTATTTCCTGAACCTTCAAAGCTGGTCTCGTCCTCTATGGAGCCAGGTAATGCTCTTATAAGTGTGTTCACGTAAGAATTAAACACCTGAAATAGACCTTCCAAAGCTTTCCCTCCCAACTGCATACTTAGCAATGGTCCCACATCCTCAAAGAAATCCTAGATAAGCAGCAGGAGTAGCAAAATGAATAAAGTAAAAGACATCAGGACCATTGGCAACAACATCATACACAAAATGATTTCCTAAGCACATTGAGTTCTAGCCATACTATGAATAGAAACAAATTTGATACTAGATTGACACTAAATCTACTGTAACAAATCAAAATAATACTATAAAAGTAACACTTTGATATAAGAGAAAGAGTAAGATCTTGCAAATAATCTATGTTGAATATCTACAGCCAAGAACCAGTAACAAAGTTGAGAAAGGGAATGCAGGGCATCAACATTACAGATTGGCATAAACAAGGTTTAAGTAATTTGGATCTATATTCTAGGGATGATAAGACGAGAAACATGCTCTTCTGATGTTCCATAAAGGTCAGTCTGTATAAAATATTTTCAGATCTCACAACTAAAAAGATGTTGATCACAGTTTCATGTTGCAGTGATGTCATTTCATGATCATATCAAGGAAATCAAATTTCCTGCTTCTACCGATGCAAGTGCGCTCAAAAACTGCAAATTACCACATAAATAGAGTAGAAGATAAAGATTGTCTTCCGATCACTGTGGAGGATTAAAGGGCAAATTCTGCTAGCAGGGAAAGCACCTAAGGCAAGCTGCTGTGTCTATGACCAAATAGCAGGTGTTCACGAGGAAATATTATTATATTTAGCTTTATCAGGTCATCAGTTCTGTTAATAGCATTACCTGAACCATCAAATTGAAACGATGAGCACTACTTGAAAGTTTATGCTGATATGCCCCTGTAGAGCCAAGAACAGCACCGGCTGGCCTACCGGATGTACGTGTAACGGATGGTGGATACGTGAGTTCCCAATCATCAGCAGCTGCCAAAGCAGCAGTGCTTTCTTCAATTCGTTTCAAGTTGGCATCTAGCGCTTGCTCAACACTAGGTCTAAAAAGCTTCAGAAGCACAGGGCAAAGTGCAAGCCCACGAGCTTCCAATAAAGAACAGTGTCCTAAAGCTATTTGAACACATTCTGCAGCAGCTCGTAAGCCACCAGCAGCTGCAGATGAAGTTAATGCATGCCTTTTGACCAAAAGTGCAAATGCCTCTGTCTGCTTAGTAGCCCACATCACTAGCTCGGATGTATAAGCTGGCTCTTTACCAAAAATAGCCAATGAATCAGTCGCTGCTTGAGCAATGGCAGAGAATACCAGCTGTGAAAGGGCGGCAGTATAAGCTCCTCCATAAGAGGTGCTAGATGGACGGAGATTTTTCATGTTGAATTGGTATTTCTTGTAATGAGCATTAAGGAGTAAACTATGAGCACGGGGCCCATCCCCAAGCTTTTTAAGAGCTGAAATAGCAGCACGAAGCTCTGCACCACGAGTAGAAGGTTGGCAAGCAATTTCAGCGAGCTGATCAGCTAGCTTTTGCCTACGTTCAGCAATGGCAGTTTGTAGTGACAAAAGCACAGCATGACCTAACGTCTTCTTCTCTTTTGCTTCAGATGCAATGCGTTCTCCTTCATCAAGACTCGACAATGCTTCATCTACTCTCCTTTCAGCTAACAGAACATCTAGGAGATCAGGAAACTCCGTTAGCCACTTCTCTAGGTCCGTAGGCTCCTTAACTTCATCATTAGAAGAGCCGTTGGAGGTAGACTCAGGAGCATCATCAGACAAAGAATCAATATGAACCCCCTCAGCTAAACCATGAATTAAAGTTGCCTGAGTAGATAGCAAGTTTTTCATGGATGAAAGCTCACCCTCCAAATCTGATATCTCTTTTGATGTGCTGCAAGTAATATAGACAAAGAAGTACAAAGCAGGTAAGCATTGATGAAACACAGAAGTCAAGGTTGCCTCAGACTACAGATAAAGAATATGAAACAGTTGAAAAGTCAGTAGTAGGTCAGAATTTCATGCCCAATGGGAGACTTCTCTTGATTCATAGGTATTTCAGTTTGGGAGGAGGGTCCTATAGCAGCTACATCAAGGACTCACCGAATGAAAGCTGTATAGTTGGCATACACACTTTTGCGCATTTCCTCAGCAGAAGCCCTTTTCAGATCCAATAGATACGAGCACAACTGCCTTATTTCCTGCAAATACATGGACATTTCTATCAACACCTCACCACAGTCATTGCACAAAAGAATTTAAACACCAAGGATAAAATTATGGACACCCAAATATGACTTTGCTGTTAAAACCATTTTCATATCATAGATGAATTTAGTCAAATGAGCTGAATCCTCTCCCAAATCTAAAAGATTCTGAGAATTAGTGTTTTTCCCTATTAACACTCAAAAGCATTCCTTCCTCCATACCATGACCACGAAAGCAACAGAACAATCAAAGCACGCAAGCTGGCTTGGACACCACGGTTATAAAAAAAGAAAAAAAGGAAAAAAAAAAAGAACAATCAAAATCTGGTGGACGGAAAGTAGCTGCTGGAAGTAGTTATCATCCTTATCATTCACCCATTTCCAGTTTTATGGCCATGTTCGACTTGTCAACATTGCAACTACCTGTAGTCCCAACTCGCAGGAGACGTTATGGTTGATCAAAACAAAAGATGAAAAGTTTCAAACTGTATTATGAACTATGAAGTTGACTCAGACGATTTATAAGTCTTTGTGGAAGGAACAAACTTCAGGGCATATACCAAAACAAGTGTGGTACTCATTAAGAGGTGCCAAAGAGAATTATGATACCAGAAAGGAGTACAATAACTAGCTGCAACATCGTTACTACTTTAAAATATGAAGCTGACTCAACAGCTATTCATGTCTTGTGGCATGATGAAAATTCAGAGCGTCTTTCAAGAGAAAGTGACATTCATGAAAAGGTGCTAATGAAAATTATGTAGTAGCAAGGAGTATAGTAACATGTGGCATTGCCTCCTCTAAACAGAATAGATTATACGTAGAAGCAAGGGGAAACAGGCCGAGAAAGAAGTAGAATTTGAGCATTTTCTGTGCCTCTTTTGTAAACTGATAGCAATAGTAACAAGCTACTTTGTAAAATAGAGGCAATAATAACCTTTAGGAGTCGTTTGGTAGGGTATATTAGAATAGTGCTGAATAAGGTGTACTAGTAATGCAAGGATTAGTAATGCATGGGTTAGTAATGCAAGCATTAGTTATGCAGAGATTATTTCTTATCCACTGTTTAGTGTGGTGTATTAAAAATTAAAATACATAGCATAATTTTTAGTTGTTTACTTGTTTACAAAAGTGCCCTCCATATTCTTTAGCTTTAAGGGAATTTAAGGACAATTTTGTCTTTAACCATGCTAATGCATGCATTAATAGCCTTGGTATTGCTAATACCATGGTTTGCTGTGTATTAGTTATACATAGGATAATACCAAATAGGTTGTATAACTAATACTTGCATTAGTAATACATAGGTTGAAAAAGTGTACCAAACAAGGGATTAGTAAGCTAATGCATGCATTATTTTCTCTAATGCATTATCGAACGACCCCTTAGTATAACTGCTTGTGTCTGCCTTTTGATGAATAATAGAGAATGTTTTGGCTCACGGACTGGTAATCTATAATCGAATAGCTTTGGATGAGTCATCCTCGCCCAGGATAAGTCATCGGGTAAGACATCTTCGGATAATTCTTTTAATTCTAATTTATATTTTTTTATTTTCGTTGATTTGTTAATTTTAAAAACTAAAACCTCAAAGCAATATAGAACGTATAATACTTTCTTTTGTTAGTATTATAGATATCATAAAACCAGCACTAAGAGAGTGTTGTGGTTACTATAAAATGTACAATACTATTAAGATGCTAATATAGTCTTAGACTTCATATACTCCTTCATACATAGAGGAGACAAGCTAGCTATATTTTTCATACTATCAGTACCCTCTTGGTGCTGCGGTTCTGTGAACAAAATTAGTTTTGTTAAAAAAACATATAACAATATTCTTAGTTTGTTTAAGCACATAAACATTTGGTTAAATAAAAGGGTCTATAATTCGGTAATTAAAATTTACGGGTTATCATTCTTTTTAAATTCTTTTTTTTTAAAGAATGAATCAGTCTTCCTAAATTCTAGTTCTGTAAGACTCTCATCCCCTGGCTATTAATACAACCTCCTCTGGTATTAAACAATTAAATAGTCCATTATATAGGGATAAAAGGGGTTATGAGCAGTGTTGTTAAAAACTCGTTTGAGGCGCACTTAAGCCCTAAAGCTCAGGTAAAGCAAGGTTGAGCGCTACGCCTCGCTTAAGTAGAACTTTAGCACAGGAGCTAAGGTGTTAAGGGGTGTGCTGCATCAGACATGGGCTATGTGTTTAAGATGGCAGTATTAGATAATATAGTTGGTAAATTGATACATTAATTGTTAAAACAAAATTATAAATTTTTTTTTGGGGGAGTAGGAATAAGAAATTGAAATTTAGTACAAAAACTTGCTTTGGAAAACATAAAACTATTTCCTTTCATCAAAATTGGAAGTTCAAAATGGCTTTTAACTTGATTGGTATGATTCTTAGTTCATATATTTTGCTTTATTATAGTTACTTCAGTCTTTAATCCAAATAATTGTTGTTTGTGTTTGTAATTATTTTTGTTGCATTACATAGTTTTTCTTCATTAGCGCTTTTTCGTTAAAGCCAATTCTTTAATTATGCTTTGCCCTTAAAGCCGCAACAAACTTTGGCGCTATTTTGCATTTTCAGCTGTCAACTACTCTAGTTTTGAGATGACTCATCCTTGCATACTTTTTTGCCTCCAATGACAGGATAATGGGTCAGTCATCCGATACCTCCTCATTCAGCATCATTCTCCACCCAATTATGCACTGGGGGGATTACATTTTACCCATGTAAAGCTGTATGTTGAAACAGTTCCTCCCCTCCTCTCAAAATGCAATGATGTCTAACACAAGAAAAGAGATATATGAAAATCGAAAATGCTTCGATAGTCTCTGTCTCTCTTTAACTCTTCAAACAACTTATAGACTCAGAAAAAGCCTCATTTTTCATCAAATTATGGAGCTTCAAGGAAAGGAGAAATCCTCAACTGTTAACAAAAATTTCCATATGACCACATTTCGTGCAACAAGTCTAGTAAACAATTACAGTAATTTAGTAGACAGGCGGAAATTGGCAATCATCATTAGCATTAATGTAAATAACTAAGAATATTGAGATGAACTCTCCGAATTAAAACGAGCTGATATCCAAATCAAGATTTTGCATAGAACATCAAGATGTAGTTAAGTTAAATAAAAAGAAGTATACGTATGAAGAGTAAATTAATTTGAGAAATTTTCAAGCTTGAGCTACATAACTGCATCATTTTACATCATATACAAATGTATCTAAGTGGTGTAGCTAAAGAGCGTGCAACATAATAAAATATGAGATATTTATTAATTTAATCCTATGGCCTAAGGTAAATGCTTAATTCTAACCCCCCCCTCCTTCCGATCGAATAAAATAATGAAACTCAACATTTTAGATGAATCACAGGTGAATAAGTTTACTTAAGAAAATTTAACAGTCAATTATTAACAAAGAAAAGAAGAGGGGAATTGAGGAATTGGACCTTCTCGTTGAGAGAATGACATTTGGACTGAACAAAGGCATCAGCATCGAAATTATCGGATTTGAAGACGTTGAGATTTTCTTCGAGCTTGGTGCCGCTTTCTTTGTTGATTCCTTTAGACGGAGTGACCGCGTGTGCTCTTGACCGAGAGGATTTCACGGAAGCCATGACTAGTGAATCAAAGAAAATTGAATGGGCGAATGGTTAGGGTTGAATATAGGAAAATCAAAAGGCTATAGATCTAATCGACTTGCTATTGCTGCCATGGATTATGATTGACGAAACAACAGGAGATTAGTTGGTTGGCGGAATGTAGAAAGAGAAAAAGAGGGCTGAGTTTGTTTGATAGCGTTGGGTTTTGGTTCGCTAATCGCCAGCCTACCCACGCCACCGAATTTTCTCTTTCTTAGCTAACGTTTACTGCCCGGTTGCCTCCGTGTGCTGTTTGTTCAACTTTCCTTACGCGGTCCATACCTTTTAGCTTTTATATAACTCACTCCCTATTCCATTTTAAATTGTTCTGAAATATTTGACATTATCACCATATACGTGAAATTTTAGATTAGCATGATTTGGAATATGATATTTTTATGTCAAATTAACTTTTGGAGTAATCATTATTTAATATTTACGGCACTTGAACATTATATCTATCACCAAGCATATCACATAACTTTAAAAATAAAAAATATTAAATTTTCTAACAAAAATTTTCAAGCGTGCCAACGTAAGTATGAATAATACAAAAAAGTATAAAGTAACATGAGATTCAAATGAGCTACAATGTCCTAGAAATACAAACCTTATACGGAGAATATCATGTTAGAAAGAAAAATTTATGTCTACGGACTCCCTCCCGATTAAGTAAATAGATCAAAAATTATTATGAGTACTACAATTCTTGAACTTTCTCCCGGGAGCTACTATTCTCAATCATATAATACAATTCCAACGTGATTTGCTTCCAACAAGTTAATAATTTAGAAATAATTCATAATATTGTACTTTAGTATATAATGGAACACTACCTTTACCCTAACATGCGTTGAGATTTTAACACCGATTATTTGTTTTCAAATGAAAGGTTCCATAAGTACTCTTCGTTGTGTCCATCGACGGAGAATATACTATATTAGGACTCTGGTTTTGAGTTGCAAGTCTTTAATCCCACATTTGTGAATAACTATGAGGGCTTTTGAGTTTTGTATGTGAAATGTCAACTAACGGGGTTTCAAGGTTTACTAGGCAAATCACACACGTTTGCACATAAAACAGTGAGGTAAGTCTTGTATTTGGGTCTTGAGAGCGTAAAGGGCACATGACACCCAAGCCTCGTGAGACAAGCAAATCTACATGTCTTTAGTTTTTCTTTGAGCGTCTTGTTCTAAAGCAAGTTCTGACTTTGTGTGTTTGGTATGGAGGAATTGTTTTGAAAAATATCTTCACGAAAAATGAGTGATTTTATCACTTATTTTTCCTTGTTTAGTCTGTGAGTGAAAGTTTTTTTTCACAAAAAATTTTTTAGTGTTTGGTTAGAGAGTATAAAATATTTTTAGGAAAATAATTTTTTATGTTACTCTCTTCAACCCACCTTCCCCAAAATCCTCGCGTTTCCTGTACTCCCCCCCTTCCCGGATTCTATTTTTTTCAAGAATTTAATTATTCTTTTCAAAATTCACACAAACCCAAAGGAACTAATGTGCTATTTTACTTTTTCACACACGAACAACGTTGAAATTTGAGCTCGATAACTAAAAAAAAAATATTTTTTTTTGTTAAAAAAGAAAGTATTTTTTCTATAACATAAAAAGAAATTACTCATTATGTTGAATGAAAGAAAATAGTTTTTGTATATTATGAAAAGAAAATACTCAATTAGATGAAATAAAAGAAAATACTTTTCTACATCATGAAAAGAAAGTATTCATTTTGTTGAAATGAAAGAAATTATTTTTTCTACATGATTAAAAGAAAGTACTCTTTTTGTTAAAATGAAAGAAAATATTTTTTTACATCAGGAAAAGAAAATACTTAGGTTGTTGAAAGGAAAGAAAATATTTTTTCTACATCATGAAAAGAAAGTACTCTTTTTTGTTAAAATAAAAGAAAATACTTTTTCGACGTCATGAAAAAAAGTACTCATTTTATTGAAATGAAAGAAAGTATTTTTTTCTACGTCATGAAAAGAATATACTCATTTTGTTGAAATTAAAAAAAAGTACTCTATTTGCAACATGAAAATAAAATACTCTTAATAATATTTCTATTTAGGGTGGGTGGTGAACGAGGTTGGTGTGGGTGGGGGTAGGGGTTGGGATGGTTGGGTGATTGGGGTAGGGGTGGTTTGGGCTTGGTGGGGATAGGGAATAGGATGGAGAATGTTGAAAAAAAATTTTGAAAAATATTTTCCATATCTTACACCTATCCAATCAACCCCTATTTTCTCCAATTAATATCGTCTTTGCTTACTTTTATTGTGATTGTCATTAGTCAATAGTTTAGACTTTTAGTTAATTTTAGTTTTAATCACACAAATCTAAATTGGCGATCATCTTGGATAACAATTAAACTAGAAGCTACGAAAACACTGTTTAAATCTAATCCCTGTGGATACAATATTTTCTATACTATATTCGACTAGCGAGCATAATTTTGTGTTGTATTTTTAGCTCGTCAAATTTTGGCCTATTGGAGGAAAATGAGTTCATGAGAAAAATATTTTTTAAAACATTTAAGCCAACCAAACATGAAAAAATTGGAAAACATTTTCCTTCGTACCAAACACACCCTTTGTCTTTTGAAAATATTGAAATATAATAACAAATACATAAAGTCAAATTACTATCTTAAATGTTGTGGCCAGTCAATATTATCGTATAAATGTAGAATGACAGTGTTAATAGTAACAATCACTAAGTATCAAAACATTCAATTAGAGTAAGCTTATATCTATGCCTATTTGGTAACATTTTTCTCAAATTTCAGATAAGAAATATTAATCACTACTTATATGTAACAAGAAATTTACGGTTTAACGAATAATATGATGACATCAAGTTAAAAATTCAAGCCAAAACATATTGTTCGACAATATAGGCAAAATTAATTGTCAGCAAGAAAAAAGAGTTCTTCAAACTTCCAAACACCAACAGCGAAAATTCACAAATGAAATGAAACGTGTATTTAATTTGTAAACAGTTGATTGTATTGAGTTTAACATTGGTGTAAAGAGAATACTAAAAGGAAAGGGAAAGCTCTACAAAATTTTACATAAAAGCTAGTTGTTTAAAATGATCAAGCAGTTGATCATCACCTTAAACTTGGGGCCAAAAACAATTTAGGCTGCTTCACAGTCTTTCGCACAGTTCACAATCCCGTTATAAGAAAACACATAGAAAAGAAGAAAAAGAGGACCTTTTGTGCGTGGAATAATCTGTTTTATGGTAGGCAATTTAAATTGTATTTCATTTTAAACCTGCGTATGAAGATACTTGGAGTCTAGAGATGTACATGTGGCATAAACCGAAAGAATACCAATGGTTTATCTGTTTTGTTTTTGTTTTACATGTACTCATTCTCTTTGTTCAACAGCATTCACCAACTCAACCACTTACCAGTTGCTTAGTTAAGTTTTACTCTTCATCTTCCAAGACACTCTCAAGTCCAACACCCTCTCAGAAAATAAGAGAGAAGGAAAAGAAAAGAATGGTTAAAAGACAAGATTGCCCAAAAAAATAAGCTACTGTTGGAATGGTCAGCTAAAAATGGGGCAACAACGGATGAGGACCAATTAATTAGCTTAAAAGAAAGACAATGATATGGCTTGGTATCTGATTAAAACACGTCAATATTAGTTGTCTTCCTGTTGAGATGACATCGTTGACATTCTTCTTATAATTAATCTGCAACGTTTAATTATTGCTGCTTCTAGTATCAAAACTAATAGAATTTCAACACATTTTATGTGACTCGGTGTACTACATTCAGAGAGCTATGGCCCCAAGGACTTGGCTCTCCTTATAAAGAAAGAAATTCAACAATGACACCAATAAGAATTTCACATTTCTTTAGACAGGGCAACGAAAAACGACCAGTTTCAGACAGTCGCTTTAGCTACGAGCAAAATTTTGTTAACTTCTCGCCTACTCAAACACAGGCTAGAGCATCCTCGTATTAAATTCACCGCTAGGCGTAATTGCAAATTAGTGATCATCAATTCACTTGAATTTAAAAAAAAATAGAAGATTCAACATAAAGTGGCATTATACTGGGTGTGTTGTTGTTGTAGAAGATTCAACATAAACACGAGAAAGATTATCTCATTTCCATCCAACAGAAAAGATCAAAGTCTATTGGCCATATTATTGAAAGTTAAAATGTCCCAAATTCAACCTCCAGCAGATAAGCACTCTGTATAGTGCCAAGGCAGTACAAATTTCACTCAAAAGAAGAAAAAATGCTTGAGATTCAACCTTATTTTCAATCTTCCGGGGTGTCTGAGCGGATGGCTGTGACGAAGTTAAGACAAAAACTTTTGTCAGTGAGCAAACTACTAGTATTTCTAAAACCAAAATAAGGCAAGTAAAGCAAATAACGAATGCACGGACTAGTCAACCCCATCCTCCACACCCCTCGACCCACCAAAATAAAAAATATTTGAAACACCAAAAGGAACACACAACAATCATGTAGAAGTATGAACTTAATCCTGCATGTAAATACACTAATTAAGTAGCAAATTAAACATAAGACACAAGTGCACGACTTTCGTCTTCTGCCTTATTGTACCAATCTTTAAGTGATGGCTTGCTTATTTTATGTATCCAAGGCACCACATCAACATGTGAACAGCCATGCTAATAAGACTACTCTTTTTAATTTTTCTGAAGAAAGTCACACAACATGCTGAATTCCTAAATTTTCATAAATTCAACCATTTATTGACTCAGCATGTAGAAGCAAAATATAAAGAGCGGATACATGCATGTCTGTAACATATCTGTAGATTACAGTCGCACGTTAATATCTATTAATAGAGTCTCACCATTCTGATCCTCCACTTCCTCCTCTATCCAGTTCTGTTTCACTCAAGATGTAAACATGATAAACATTATTATCGAACTTTCAATACCCCAAAATATCACCAACGCACCATCTCTACGGCCCCCCTTATCATATGTCCCCTGTCTTTATACTCAACCAAAGACTGGAAAATAACTATTAAGTAATAGTTTTTCAAGGTAACATATTAACATGGAAAACTAAACACACTATATATTTTTCATAATGAGCCAAGGCAAGAACTGGGGTGGATAAGGACAGACAAGGTTATGTTTGAACACTTGGTTAATCCTCTATCAGCAAAAAAGAGTTAAATACAGAAAATTTTAATGCCTATAAGAGAAACCAAATCCAGCACATTCCTGGAAATCTAAGACCTTGACTAACATGATATATGTTCTGATGATCGATAAGATGTTGGAGACAGAATGATATTATTGTTCTAGTTGAAAGATCAGCTATAACTAGAGCAGATGGTGGTAAGATGTGTAATTGCACTGGAATTAATTTGCGCTGCTACGTACACAACGGAAGGAAGGGATCATGTCTTGAGGACATATAATAGTCAAATCCATAATAAGCTAAAGTGCTAAACAACAAAGAGCTAAGACTAAGAAACCAAAAACACAATAACTAAATTAGACGTCAGTGGCAAGAAAGGATCATGTCTTGAGGACATATAAACCCNTAAGAAAATGAAGTATTTAACACCATTTAGAAAAAACCCAATTGGATTGGTAAGATATTTCTGATTGCTATTTATAAGTTGACAAAGAGGAGAAACCAAATACCAAATAGTTAAATTAGAAAACAATGGCAAGAAGGGACATATATTAGGACGAATAATACTCAAATCCAGCATAAGCTAAACGACCAAGAGGGAAGAAATCAAAAATAAAAAAAACTAAATCAGTTGGCTCTGAGATCACTGATTAATAGAGCTCAATGCAAACTTAACATCACTCAAAATCCTTGTCAAAATCCACCTCCCTCCTATATAAGTTAGTTACATAAATTGGTGCGCTCAGTCTAACTATAAGATTTGATCTGTAGAAACCTGTCTTAAACTGATTTTAGAACTGAAATAGTGAATGAGAAAACCGAATGTTCCTTCTGGGAAAATGAAATCTCAAAGCAAACAGCTACTTATGCTACCTCAAAATAACAAATTTGCCAGAATTCATATAGAAGACCCTAAACTAAATACACGTCCATCCCTAATAAGCGAATTTGAAACGAAAATGAAACGAAAAGATCTAAAGCTGTGTGAGCAATCAAATCAGTATTAAGCAAAATATCTTAACTTCATAGCACAAATTAAAAAAAAAAAAAAA